GCACAATGATCTGAAATTCACCTGGATAGTTACAGATCAATTTAATTCAGAACAAACTCAGTGTATAAAGGATTGTAGCTCCTGTACAACAGTATAAATTTTAAAGACATTTGTATTCTTTGTGTTTTTTAGCACTAAATGACACATTTTACTCCAGTCGAACGGGTTAAATTTTACTTGAACAGTGTGTGAGAGTTAAAAACTTTAACCCTCTAATGATAGATTTAATTGATAATTGTTTATTTTATCGCTGCATTGCCTATCACAGAGCTTAATCATTAGTTTTCTTGCCCTTTAAATAACCGGCTGGTGGTCTGCTGCTGAGCCACGTATCGCCACGTTTGCGAGCATGCGCAGTGCCCAAACGTTAGTGTTCCGGGATAGGTCAGTGTACACAGTGTAAAAAATATATCATTGTGTACTCTCTTACGTGTCTATTATACTGAGCACAGTGAGAGGCGGCAGAGGGGTGTTTTGTGAAGAAAGAGAGGCTCTGAATACGGCACCGAGATGAACTTCTTCAGAGGAGTGATAAGTGGGCAGGCAGCCGGGCCGCAGCCGTCCGGAGCGGAGACGGTAGGAAAGCAGCTGGGCTAGCAGCGGCTAGCTTATGTTTCTCCGCTGTGCGCCGTACAAACTGAGAACAGGGGGATAGAGTTGTGTTTTTAAACTAGTTATTTTTTGCTCCGTCACATAACAAACACCTAAGAGAATGTGTGATGATACCTAAGATACCTTTCACTTGGCGAATGACTGACAGCGAGCTAGTTAGAGGGCTAATGAGCTAAGGTGGCTAATCTGTCAGGCAGCAGTGGGAGTGTGTGTAACCTGCTGTGAAGCCACAATGAATGGAGAAATCCATGAAAGACACGGACACCAAGGACCAGCCCGTTAGGACTGTCAGCTGTTTACACGTCAGAGTTTTGTTTTGATTAACTTTAATCTGTAAATCTACTAAACATATTAGTGCGATCTTGTAAAATGAGCTAGTGTATAACATAAAAATGGACCTCGTCGTGTACGTAGGGCGGCAGCGAACTATTATCTTTAGTATTGATTGCCTGCTAATCAATTGGTTTAAAAGCACCAAAAAATAACTGAATGTTTTGTACTTTAGCTGATGACAGCCATGCATAGTGTTCCATGCAGGAATCTCCTGACACATTGCTGAAATTGCAGCAGACAGCCACATATAATCAGATCTTTGTATAGTGACTGCTCAGGGAGAAAGCTGTCACTCCTGAGAATGCACAAAACACTTGAACAGAAACCTTCTCAAATTCTGTTTTGTTTCTCCACCTTGTTAGTGCTCTTTCTGTGTTTAGAGGTGTTAAATTAATTTACTGTTGACTTGTCGACATCCCATGCTGCAGTAAAACTTATCAGTTTTCCAAGAAAATGTGCATTTTTCGACCGCATTTTGCTTTTGCTTTTGGAATAGGACCTGTATGAAAATGAAAGCAGTAAACCTCCCTACAATAAGTGCATCTGGTGGGCCTTTTTTAGGGGTGGCTTGGGTCCACTTGTCCCCTTTGTCTCGGCAAATCAATACAAAGTTGTCACCTTCATCCCATGATGGGAGTGGTGTCTTCCAGGGTGACATGAAGGATTACTGAATGGTTTGAGTATTAGAGCGATGCAAGTCATTTTCTGTGGCCTTTGCAATCAGCCAGATCTCATTTTAGACAGACAACTTAGACACTTTATCACACTGTCACAGTTGACTTTGATTTCATGGCAGTTTGCATTAAACATGTGTTGACTCATCATCTTAGTAATAAGAGCTAAGCAACTTGAGATGCAGGAGACATCGTGCATTCACACTTGCGCCTTTTCATAAGTGATACGTAAATCTTACTGAAGTGACCAAGGTGCACATTAAGACACAAGCTGTCAGATGGTGTTAAAACAAAAGATTTCAAAACTTGAAAGGGTTCAGAAATACTAGTGTTTTTTCCTTTAATTTGTCAGCTGTCTGTGTGTGCTAAATGTAATTATATACAGTATTTTGTTTTTTTGTATTGTTTTTTTTTGTTTTTTGTTTTTTTTGCTTCTTCTCCTCACAACTCCACCACAGAACCCTTGGGACTTAGAAACCACAGCTCTTTAAAACATTCCAAAAATTCTGTCAATTTCAGAGACATAAAATTACAGAAATTATCAGCAAGCATGGCAATAATAGTTAAAAAATAATATGTCCGTTAACAGATCCAGAAGCTGTGCGATCGAGTTGCCTCCTCCACACTTCTAGAAGATCGGAGAGATGCTGTCCGTGCTCTTAAGTCCCTCTCCAAGGTAAAGTATAAGTAGAAAACTAAAAGGGCCTGAAGCTGTATGCAGTCAGTTGCTAGTTAAATGGATCCGAACTTGCCTTGGAAAATTGTAATTTCTTGAAGGTTTTAGTGAAACTATTTAAGAGAAGAGCTGTGAAACTTTGAGTTGAAATCACTGCACTAACATCATGTACATAAAGCAGTCTGCACATGTCTTCTGCTGTGTCTCACTGCAATAAACGTGCCATCCGTGGCCTTGGTTAAAAGTCTTGTTTGTCACATTCTACTGATTAAAATGAACTCATCTCTGACCTCCACCAAGTCACTTCTGTTCACTGACAGTTTTGCCATTAGCTGCACTGTCAACCATGAGTAATGAGTTTATCGAGCTTGAATAAGGGGTTTAAGAGGCACAGGGTTTCACGTTAACACACATGGGTGTTAGTCCTGGTCTGCTACACAGATAGATGTGCAGGTTTCCTGTATTTCACAAGAAATACCACAGAAATCCAGAATGTTTCTAACTTATTTGTGCATATTGACTAAAATTCCTTTATTTTAGGTTATGGTTGCATTACCAATCCTATGAGCATTTTTTAAATGTTTTCTAGAAATATCGAATGGAAGTTGGAACACAGGCAATGGATCACTTGATTAACATACTACAGACTGACAGGTATGTTAATACTCATACTTGTAATGCTTGTGGATTACAGCTCAGTAAACATGCTAATGTTTGTCTCCCAAATGCAACAGATCTGACTCTGAAATCCTCGGCTATGCTTTGGATACGCTTTACAACGTCATCTGCAATGATGAGGAGGAAGAACAAGGTATTACACCCCACATCCTTAAAAAATGTGTAATTTAACTTGAATTCATAACTGGAAGATAAAACCTCTGATCTAAAGACATTTCTAACTATATTGAAATGAATTCCTCCTCATTGTGAGACTTCTGTAAATGGTTTGAACTGACTTAAAACCCATGTTTGTTTTGCATGTGTAAACGAGTTCAGTTCATGTTAAACATGGAAAGCTGTCAGTTTGCATTCCCTTCTTCTGTACACTGATGATGACTGCTTTATTTAAAGACTCTCGTCTCTCTCTTCTCTTCCATGTTTTAACCTACAGATGAATCAGAAGGTAAAACTCTGACTGTGCATGATGCCAACCCCTCTAACACCAACGGCACTTACGAATCACACAGTCCCCTTTGTTTGGTTATTGAAAAAGAGTGCATTTTAAATGTATTCCCTGCAAAGATTAAAATAAGCTGATAAATGAAAATGGTGTTGTCATGGCATGGGTTAACAAGTCTCTGTCAGCTGATGCTGGACTTGGAATGAATGCTAGCTTTTGGGTAAGGCGTTGAACTTCTCTTCCTCCCTGCACTCGCAGACGCAGTAGCCCCTCTCCCTGTCTCAGGGAAGCATAAGAATGTGTCTGTGCCTGGTCAGTACTCAAACTGTGCCTTTGTGCAGTAGCTTTAGTGCTAACTAGTTATAACTAACTTCACTAAAGTTAGAGGGCACCAGAAAATAAACAGGAAGGCACTTTGGTGTTGACAAGAATGCTTCACTAATGTTTCATTACGCCCCATCTTCTGGCTGTTTTTTTCCCCCTCACATCACATTTTAATACCTCAGTAATTTTGCACTGTTGTTGTTGTTGTTGTTGTTGTTATACCAATACTAATTATTGTACATGGGGGCAAAACTAGAGCGATTTCTATCTACCTGGCAGTAGTGATTTACTTTTTAGCTCTGATTTGGTTTCAATTGCCATCAGCAGCCTGTCTCTGTGTCTTTCTGCTGTCAGGTAGTATGCGTTGTGGTTTTTCAGAGCATTTTCATTAAACACAACAGCCAACTGGTGCTGAAAACTTTGTTTAGAGCAAAATAAACCAGTAAAGATGGACCAAGGGAACCAAAACAATAAGCTGCAAGAAGCTAAAGTGTTAAGTAATTGTCTGCAGGTGCTCCACCTTGAAATTTAATGTATATTAACTAACTAATTAATTAACTAAGATAAGTTTATCTCAGTTAACTAATGTTAATCAATGATCTCCATTGTTAGTGTTGCAGGAAGAATGAAAAATAGTTTAGCAGCTAAAATCAAAAATGTATAACATGGAGGAAAAAATAAAT